TTTAGTTTTATCCATTTGTTAAAAAACAAAACTAGCTCCTAAAATCTCAATCTTTAATACAGTTCTTGATTTTGATCTGTTGTTAATTTGTCATGTACACATTTAACTTGGTATTCCATATTTGTAATCAGATTGAAAGGTAATGTCCAGCATTAGAATAACTTCATTATTATTATGATGAGTAAACCCTCTTGGTCCGTGTTTATGATCTAAATGATTCTGCTAAAGAGGTCTGACTTTTAAAACTACGTTTGAAGAGGATAAATTTTTATGCACATGTTGTAGTGGAAAATGTTTCTATTGCAGGAGCTGGTGTGGCTTCCATGTCAACAGGACTTTTGTGGAAGGTTTAAGAAATTGTGCTTCTATAGGTAAGTCCCCCCTGTTTATATAATTTTTATATAATCTCCCCCTATAATTTCTAAGGTGATGAGTAAATCCTCTTGGTCCGTGTTTATGATTTAATGATTCTGCTAAAGAGGTCTGATAACAACTTGAAGGAAAAAGGCAATTGATGTTATTCATAATTAGTAATTAATTTTTCTTTTTTTCTTTGTAGGATAATGTCCCGATCTTGCTATCCAGTTTTGAAGGATATTTATTTTGGTAAGTTTTTCTTTGTCATTGTATTAGTCTAAAAGTGAATATTTTACTGATTATTGTATTAGATCCCTGATTTTAAAATTCTTAGTATTTTTTCTATATATCCAGTCTTTTCTCAAATATAAAATTTGGTAAAGTAGCCTACATGTACTTGAGATTCCTTCTTATTTCATTTTTTTGAATATAGTGATATCTTTTAAAGGACGCTAGATCAAAATCCAGGCTACTTATCGTTGGAGATTAGCTCCTTAGCTGGTCTTCAGGTTTATGCCGGAACATTTGATCATGCACATTCATAGCTAGTCATAGACTCTGAATTTCATGTTAAATAATGGCTTATTTCACTCTTTTTCAGGCTTTTGGTTGCCAGGCTGATATTGGTCAGTGAATATGAATATGGCTTTGAAGGTAAATATTGCTTTTGTGCTAGATATACTTCTAAATTATTAGTGTTTAGATTGTGACACATTATGTACAGGATGAAAACCTTTTTATTCAGAGCATTGGGTTATGAAAACCATGATTACTTTTTGACACCTGAAATATTCTTTTTTAGTAATTATCTCTTGGAATTTGGCAAAATTTTAAGCATTTTGAATTTTTTCAGATGGGACAAAAGGAAATGTGCAAGCAGGATTGGCATATCTTTAAAATAAAAGGTATGATCTTGTTGATATGGAAACGGATTATATTAATAACTTGCTACATACAAAAATCAAGATTGATTTAATAAATGTAATTCTTTCAAGGTGAATTTGTGAAGCTGCATTTATGATGAGTAAATCCTCTTGGTCCGTGTTTATGATATCTGTGATTCTGTTAAGAGGTCTGACTGTTGTCAAAAGCTATTAAGATTGCAAAGTTTTATGCATGTATTCTAATAAAATTTTATCTTGCAGGAAGCTTGTGAGGTTTCAAGGCTACCAACATGATCTGCTTGAAAGATGTCCAGGGCTTGTGGTCATATTGGTAAGTTGCCACTAATGGCTATATTTTGGTCCTTTTCTAAAGTGATGAGTAAATCCTCTTGGTCCGTGTTTATGATCTAAATGATTCTGTTAAGAGGTCTGAAATTTAAGAAATGTATGCTCTATATTTTGCTGATAATTGATTATTAATGAATTGCCTTATCTTTCACAGAAGCACACGGCTTGTCAGGATGTGAAGTTTTAGATTTGCCTTTGGTAAGTTTGCCAAAACTAATATACAAAGTCTTCTTGAATAGTCTTGAAGTTCATAATTTTACTGTGCTTAAAGCCATTTAATATTGTATACACTAAAGTTGCCATATTGTGAATTGTGAAATTAAGTAATGTATACTTCGTGACAAAGCTAAGTATACATATTTAAATTTGTATATAGAAGCAGCTACATGTTTTTTGGCGTTCTGTATCTCCAAGTTAACATCCTTGTTTCTTTGGTCGTAAGGACGCTAGATCAAAATCCAGGCTACTTATCGTTGGAGATTAGTTCCTTGGCTGGTCTTCAGGTTTATGCCGGAACACTTTGATCAAGCATCTTCTTGCCAGTCTTGACATTGAATTGCACATTAAAAGAACTTGGAATAATTTATTTTTCCAGGTATTTGGAGAGCACTGTCTGATGGTATTGACCAGTGACCATGACCTTAAGTTAAGGTAAGACCTCGTTTTTGTATTGGATATAAACTTGGATTTCCATGAGAATGTAGATTATGGCACATTGTATACAGGATGAAAACCTTTTTTCAGAGCATTGGGTTATGAAAACCATGATTAGGTTTTGACATCTGAAATCCTTGTTGTAGAAATTATCTCTGTGAATCTGGCTTAAGTCTAAATGTGTTGCTTGTTCTTCTTTCAGATGGATTGAAAGAAAAAAGCAGGCAGAGCTGGCATCACTCAACCTTTTAAAAAAGTGGTTCCAGGTAGGATTTTTTCTTTTCTTTCTACCCCAAAAATTTTCACATGATGAAAACCCTTTTTTCAGAGCATTGGGTTATGATAACCATGATTACTATTTTGACACCTGAAAACATGAAATAGAAATAAATTGCAACATCTAGGAAAATTTCTAATGTTCAATTTTTTTTTCTTCAGGATGACCCAGAAGTAACTTGAGTTACCACCAGAGATTGCAAATAAACATTGATCTGACTATGAATTTATCTCGTCCTTTTTACATGTATAGGAAATTTGTAAGGATCATTACTTCGGAAAGATCCTAAATGTTCTTCAAGAGGAAAAAACCTCTTGGAATTACTTTAAAATGGAACTAAGATAACCACAGAGGTGTTGGTGTAATATTTAATGCTCTGATTTTGTCAAAAAATGTAATGGAATTTTACTTGTATGTTGCTGTCGGGGTTAAGTCACTGCACTTGTCATTAAAAGAAATTTTGCCATGTTGGGTTAATCCTAAAGGAAAGTTGGTGCAACCAACTTTACTGAAAAGGCCGAGGCCATCCGCACCAGTCAAGCTTGGCCGAAATCTTGCTGGGTCTCAATGGATGTTGGAGAGCAGTGTTCACAGGCTTTACCGGCAGTAAAGGTCGGCATTTGGCTCGATGCAGCTTACCTAGAAAACGGGAATGGCAGCTGACTTGTTAAATAACTTAGTGCTCCAATCAAAAAGGGCATTTAGAGGTGGGTTAAAGTTGATTCCCAGCCATTCGAGAGCTTTAGACACCAGGCCAAAGTTACTGAAGCAAAGGTTCAGTCATGTGGGGAAGGATGTCAAGCGGACTGAGGGCAACAAGACTTGATAATGCCAAACTTGAAGTTCTTCAAATAGGGAAGGGGAGAAAGTTTAGTTCAAAAGCTGACTTCTTAGACCGTACTGTTTGATGAATGTACCCTTCATCAAACTGTACTGTCTAAAAATGACTCCGGCTAAGAAAAGTCCGCTTGACTTTTTTCGTCCGTGTAAAGGGGCAGATCAAATCGGAATCAATGCACCGCAACGCCTTGCTTGTCGTGGGCAAGCTTTTCCTTCACTTTATCCCCTTCTGTCCACTTATCCTAATCGTACCCCCCCAATCCCTTGCCCGTTGTTGTCGTGGGGGGGCTTATTAGGCGGAGACTGGGACCCAATGATGGGGAACTCCCCAACCTTGGGACTCAGCCCTCGACTCGACTAATTATGCATGGTCTTTTTTTCTCTTCCCACTTTTGTTTCTGTCCCTTCACCAAACCCTTCTTCTATCCACCTCCTAAGGTGTGAGAGCCGTGCTGAAAGGATGAAAGGCTGACTTTGTGCCAGTCCTGAACGGCCTGAGGGAGCCATGGGCACGGTATTCCCCTGATTTAGTTATCTAGCCCTTACCCCTCAAGGGGACCCTGAGGGGTGGACTGCTTTTATCCCCAACATAATCCAGGCTTCCCATGGCCAGTAATGAAAATATACCCCCACTGTTAGGGGCAATGAGGCTTGCCCCTTTATCAAATAGCCCCAACGAAGTAAACCCACCCGATTCCCCGACCCCAGGCTCTCCTTTGACCACGGCTCCGAACACTGCAATAACTACCCCTTCACCAATGCCTACTAGTACAGTAGCCAACAATCAACCCTCAAGGAACATTTCCACTCTCCCAGCATGCCCAACTTCAACACCTCTACCCCCACAACCTCCAACATCAACCACCCCATCCTCCCTTATTAATACCTTACAGCCTTATAGCCCACCTCTCCATAACACTACCTCCATCAACACTACTCCATCTTCGTCACGCCCTCGCCCTTCTACCACCCCTATCTCTAAAACAATCTTGAATACTCTCTTCAGTGCAGCCAAATGGGACCGATTTTTCGTGATCCCTCCCACAGCCCCCTACTCTGACAACACCCTTCTCTTCCAACAATGCCTCCAAAAACAAGTAGGTAAAGTCTCTTTCCGTAGCCGACCCGACCGCTCCCGTCTTGTAACAGTAACATCCGAAAACCAAGCCATAGCATTAACAAAACTGACCTATATGGTAACCCCATCCAACCCTCAATACTTGCACCGGAACAGTCTCAATCTCACCAACAAATTGCCCAATCTATGACAAAGATTGGTCAGATTGTGGAGAAGATCTACTTGCCTGTCTCACAGACTACGATGCAACATCAGTACAATGCTATTCCATCCCCCCCAGAGGTCATCGAAAGAAACCCACTAACATAGCCAAAATTACCTTCCGTAGACATGACCTTCCCTTTAACGTCTACATAGGAGGAGAATCCCTCCCTGTTCGTCCATACCAACCTCCTCCACGTCAGTGCCAAAATTGTTGGCGTCTAGGACACCCAGCCAAACACTGCCGTTCCACAGCCAGATGCCCATTATGTGCCCAACCTGGCCATACCCGATCTAACTGCTCTGCACAATCACGCACATGTGCCAACTGTGGCGGCCCCCATAATGTATTTTATAGGGGCTGTCCCACCTACAAATTTGAATCTGAGGTAGCAACTCTCAAATTCAAACTTGGACTCACACTGCGTGAAGCCAGACAGGAAGCACGTCGACGTGGATTCTCTTACTCCTTACTCCAGTAATACTGCTCATTCTAACACTTCTCCTAAACCCACCCCTCCTACATCTAACCCCCCCACTAACCCCACCTACCTTCCCCAGTCAAACTCTTTTGCTATCCTAAATCCAGAAACTCCAATCTCTACTACAGATACTCCAGTCACCACTACAACCCCAACACCTTCCCCTCTCCCTCCTCGCACTCCCCGTAACAGACAGAACAAACGTTCCACCCCTTCTTCCCCTACCACACAATCACCCCCACCATCCTTTGCCCGTACTCTTGAGACACCAGTCCTCTCTTCCCCCCCTCACAAGAAATCCTTTATCCCCAAAACTCCCCAACCAACTCCACAGAAGAAACTATTGAAAATATTCAAGATTACTTAATGAAAACCGACACTCAACCTACAACTCCTGCTCCTTCCACACTCCAAGTAATTGCTGATATCCATCCTCCTCCTAACGATATCCCCCCTACACCCTACCCTCCTACCCCCTCCCAACACAGCCCATCCCCCCTGACCCCAACCCTGCCCACATTAACTCTCCCACCATCCCCTCTATCCCTTCCACTCCCTACTGGATACACACGTGAATCCCTTATGTCACAAGTATCCCCTTCCTCAGACCCTCCATCTCCTAATACCCCTCCTGATAGAACACCAACTCCCACACCTCTCCCATCTCAAACCTCTCAGTCCTTATCCCACCCTCTAGCTGCTTCCCCTTCAAATTCTCCAACACGTACTACAATCTATATCACTAAATCAACGAAAGTATAACTATCCTTCATTGGAATATTCGCGGTTTCCGCTCCCACAGACCTGACCATCATATCCTTTCCTCTTATAACCCATCTATTGTATGCCTTCAAGAAACCTTTCTTATGCATACCCTTTATCTAATATAACACCCGACCTTAACCCTTTCACTCACTAATTCCTTTGCCCAGCTTAGACAACTAATCACTAACTCAACCACCCTTCACTAACATTAACTATAGTGCTACATGACCTTAGATGTCTAGCACATTTATCTTGCTTTTAACCATTAACCATTAACCATTATCCTAATCGTTAACTCCGGTTTACCCCTTTATCATGTTACTGTAAGACTGGCATACTTTTTATTTTGACTTGACAATTCTACAAGTCCACAAATATCAGCTTATGAACCCAAACAATTCTTACCCGGGGGCTTCGCCTCACCCTATCGTTATATTTTGAATACGCCGCTGATTACCTTAGACGTTGATACGTCAGGAAATTTTCATTAAATAAACTTGGAGTGGATGATTGAATTGTGTGTACATCCCCCTGAATCGGTTTCTTGTATAGTGAAATGGAAAAAATGTCAGCAGAGCGATGACTCCGTATGTCCAAGAAGGGGAACTTACAAACGAATAAAGTGAGACCAGTTTTTTAAGGAAATCCGGGAAGAGGGTAGGTTCACGTGGAGAGTATGAAGAGGTCAAATCGAAAGAGATGTAGCAAGGAACAAATTAGCTATGATTTTAAGAGCCATGGGCAACACCGAAGGTCTGGTAACGGAAACTTTCTTCGAAGTAGGTTCGCAAAGTGGGCTGTACTGCTTCCTTTGGGGCGGTGGAAGGATCTGGGGCGCTAAATAAATTAGTTTACTATATAAGAATTTATTTGAAATATATCACGATTAACATTGTTAAAAAAAAAAAAAAAAAATGGGAACCATTGCCTTCGACCAGTGGTTCCAACCTTTCCCAAGCTAGCGCTCCCTTGGCCTTCACTTGGATTCCTGGCGGTCTTCTCCCCTCATACACATATGCGAACACTCTTTTTGATATGCTTCGTATTGAAATAGATCAAATACAAAGACGCATTTCACAAATTAAACCCAATTTAGTATACTAATTTAATCAGTTTTATCTGCCGACCACTACCGCAGCCCCAGATCTTTCCACCGCCCCCTAGGGAGCGGTAACGTCCACATTGGAAACATTGCCTTAAACACGTTGATGGGCAAAGGGAGACAGAACTTCTCAGGGAGCGAATTTCCTCTGATGGTAAGCGTGGACGTCATCTAAATGTAAGTGAACTGGGAGTCAGCATCAAATCTCATTATGGTCACGAGACGAGACACCGCTAACTCGGTCGATGAAGTTCCGAGACTGATGGAGGTCAGCGGGAGAGTAAGTGCTCGGAAAAAAAGTTGGGGTATGCGTTAACCAGGAAGCAAGATGGTCGGTCCCAGATTCCCAGGAGAGGACAATGGGGCGCATAGGCACGTCTGCCACAGCATACTGACCACGGATAACCCATAGAAACGTGAATGGGAGAGTTGATAACCCTGAACCATTTCAGAGGTTCGCCCCAGGGAAACACGATGCTGTTTCAGGAAAGTGGTCGCCATGATCAGCAGTTCCTGGGCTTTCTGCAGGTAATAAGCACAGTCAGGGACCATCACCAGGTTGCTGGTGTCGGAGAGCAAAATAGTGCCATACCCTTTCCTGCCTGTGCAGAAATGGGATTTTTTCGGTCATCACATTTTTTTTTTTTTTTTTTTTTTTTTTTTTAGAGCCACCGTATCATAATTCTATTTCAAAACCTTATTTAGTATACACCGAAGAAATACATCAGCTGATTGATGGCCTACCCTATTAAGAAAGTTCCAAGATTTCCAACTATAATGCATCTAAATATCTAAAATTTTGGACGTTTCCTTTGTGTTAGGGTTTATTGTTTCTTGTGTTTTATAATAAAAAGTACAGATCATAACTCTGAATTTTATTATTCTCCACTTCCGTTAAGATTGGCTTGTGAAAAAGGGTAATTATTTGGAAAAAAAAAGATAAACTAAGTCGACTTGGGTAGTATGAAAATGCAAGTTATATATATAGTGCTCATAAACATCAGCATATGAAGACGTGTTGTTGCTAGTTTACAGCATACATTCATCCATTACATTATACGTCGACCCCTATGCACAGCACTCATGGATATCGGCAATACACATAGATGGCAAAACGATTTATACTTCTTTCCCAGCATTTTTATGTTATTCTTATTTTTTAAGAATTTACACTCCATCAGCATTTTAATTTATTTTTTCTTTATATTTTCTCCCCAAACGATTTGCACTCTTTCTCGGTGTATTTCTTTTTCCCTCCCTTTTTCAATAGATACGCATTTTTAAAAATTATCTGACTGTGTCTCTCCTTAACCCCTTACTACGACGCGCCACGACACTTAATAGCGTACCACACTACCTTGGGTTAAACATCGAATAATCGCTCACTGTCACATAAAAAATGCCCAGTAGCTCTTGTATCCGAAAGGGCATTGTTGAATCTTGCTTGGAAACAGGTGAATATTTTATATGTTTGATACAAAAACTTTAGAAGAAAGATTTTAAACAAAGCGAAAATTGAAGCGCATAAAAATCAAAGCTTGTCCCCCGTACTTTAAAAACCAGTTAAAAGTATCCCTTGTAGCTTTAATATTGAAATAGGATTTAAATATTACAATAGCTGATGCTAACTAATAACAATTATTACTACTTCTTATCTTCTGGAATTATTACACCGTAAAATGACGAGAAAAAAATTCCCGCCAAAACCGTCCAAAATAAACATTCCGGGATCTTTTGAAAAAGTGGTCATTTCTTATTGTTTTAATAGAATAAGACAACTGATCAGTGATGCGATTCTTCGCGAAATTGTTGTCTACCTGGATCACAATGCAATATCTGGCGTATACAGTTAGAGATAAGAAAAGCAAATTGCATTTCAAAGGGAAAATGGAAAAGCAGTATGGTATTCCACCAAAATAAGTCCAATATAATACATAATATATATATATATATATATATATATATATATATATATATATATATATATGTATATATATATATGTATATATGTGTATATACTATATATATATATATATATATATATATATATATATATATATATATATATATATATACATATATATAGATAATATATATTATATATATATATATATATAATATATATTATATAATTATATATAGTATATAGTGTGTGTGTGTGTGTGTGTGGTGTGTGTGTGTGTGCACACGCACATATTTACACGATGCGTATATATATATCATATATAATATATATATATATATATATATATTATATATATATATATATATATATATACATACACTGCAGGAGTTCAAATACATGTGTATGTGTGTTTATATAATGTATGTATGTATGCATATATATACATAATATAAACTAAATTTAAATTAATGAATAAAAACTAAACTGTGTTCGCAACATATAACATTACCTCTCATATTACTTTTCTCACAAGACGTATCTGAACTCTGCAGTGTACCAGGGGAAAGGGACTTGCCGTTTAACACCTGGCAGCTGTTTGAATATTTCTTAGCACTGCAGAGACTGGGAAAGCGAATATCTCAACGCAGATGTACCTCTTCCCCTCGTCGCGGGGAGGAAAACATCCCCAATATTAAACGTCCCTTGCCCTTTCGGTTTCGTTTATAGGAGACAGTTAATCGAAAAGGTATATTATATCTTTTATAAAGATGATAGAAAAAGTGTTTCGCATTAGGCATGAAGATATTTTAATGTGGTTTTTACTGAAGAAATTAGAAGCTAAAATCCCGGAAGATTTATCTATAACAACCCGATTAAACCACTGGCTCTACCTTTTTGCGTTTGTGCTGGACTGTACTTCAAATGGTTAGGTAATAGCTATTCGTATTGTCTAAGTATGTCTTATGTTGCTAGACTTTTGGCCGCGGACTAGCATCCTTTCTTGGGTTCGATGAAAACTGTACATGATAAAATTAATAAACAGGAAACAGATTTCTTTTTTTTATCTGTAAAAGGAAATGTCAAAAGTGAACCAAAAACCGTTCACT